TTAATTGTGACCTAAGAATCTTGATGCAACAAAATGAAAAGAAGTTACCATTGCTAAACTTTCAACTTTGTAGTTTGCAGGCTGCAGGTGCAGGAAGTATTGGGTAAGGAACTGATTCACTGTCGGTGCTGCTAAGTCGAAAGCAAGGACTTTGAGCACGAGGTGCTCCATTCTCAGAACCTGTTTCTTGGTGTAGGTATCATCTGTAATGTACACAAACTCTGCTACTTCCGGGGGGTAGATCTCTTCAAACTTTCTACAATGACAAAAGTTTCAAGGAATCAGTCCTAAACGAGAAGCTTGTTTATCCCAATTCTGAAACCCCGTTAGCAGAATACACAGTAAATCCAAAACCTATCCTCTCCACCCATGGCCTGTTTCCACTGATAACTGACCAGTAATTGACCATTTCTAGTAGAGACTTGGTAAAACCTAATTAAAAGACCCAGGTCAATAGAGGACTTTTGAGCTATTTCTCCCAGTGCAGACCAAGGAAATAAATGAGGCATGAGACTTTCCAATATGGGAATAATATAGAGTTCACCAAGTAACTTTAAGAAAAAATTAGGAAATTTGCTTAGAAAAATAAATGTTTTGTTTTAGTTTTCACGTTTTAATGGGGAGAAGATTTTGTTTATATGTCAGAAAGCACTTTTTAATGGAAGGAACCACAGTTTTAAACTTTTTATTCTAGTCCTGGTATATTAACATGTAGCTGGTCTCCATGCTCATTCAGCAAGGTACCCTGGAATCCAGATCTGGAAAAACTGTCCGAAATTAGAAAAGTTTCATCCACACCTGTCACCGCTGAAGTAGTCACTGACTCTCTGCCTTGTGTAATATTAAATGTCACACTGTTGAAAATCCCAATTTCTTCCCTACACAGAAAGGTACTGATCACTTTGAACCCAAGTTGACTTACGAGGCCAACAGCATGGCAGCAGTGCCCACAAGCTGAAGTTTTCCTCTCAACACAGACATGGATGAAAGAAACCTATCGATGTAGTTCACAGCCAAATGCAGCGTCTCATTCTGGAGTTTATATTCTTCTCCTACTTCAACTAACCAGTCCACGAGGATAGCCCTCATACTGTTGGTGATGTCTGGCTGTTTCTTCATGTAACCCACCTTAGGCTTACATTTAATCTGTTGAGAAAGTTACTTAGCATAGATTTAAACATTTCAGTTAAGATTATTCTACCATTAACTATGCTGCTATATGCTAGAAACCTAAGTATTGCATTAGAGTAATTCATTGGCAGTTAACAAAACTTAAAAGCATCACCCTCTCCATCTCATTTCATGACGATGACTAAACAACAGTAGGAAAAGTGGATGCAGAGAGCCTTTACCTCCATTTCCCGGAGGTACGTGTGAATGTCCTCGTGGTAGTCTGGTACCTCATTAACACTCACTGGCTTTTCATCTTCCAATACAATAGACATGTCCATAGCGTGTGGTGACTCTGGGAGAATTCACAAGTACGATTAAGTTCACTGTTTAATTTTCTATTTAATTTAAAAAGTGACTGCCCTTGTAAAGTTCCATACCACCAAAGCATTTATTTCATCTGACTAAAAAGGGATTCCCATGACCAAGTACAAAGAATGTTTATATAGTTCACTCTGGTTTTAGTACCCCTGTCTACTTAGCTTTAATTAGCAAGAAAAAATACTGACAGGTAAATAAATATGAGGATCAGGTATTATGTATGTTAGAGTATCATTCAACTTCCCCGAGACAGGAAGATGGCACGGTGGTTCTATTAGGACAGAGTTCAAGTCCAGGTTTTGAGATAACATGGGATTTGCCCTAATAGTTTGCAGATCCCGAAGTCTGACATTCAAAGCACAATCTACACAAGCGAAAGCAGGGCTAACAAGTGTGTTAACGAGAAAATTAGGTTTTTAGGTTTATTATGGGCAGTATAAACAAATTAACACTATAATCAACAAGTGATTCACCTTTTGTAATTTTAAGCTATCTTTTGAAGCAAAGAATATCCATTATTCTTTTCATGTCAAGGTTCACTTTGAGGTTAAAAAATGTCACAAATTTTAAATAAAAATACACAAATTATCTGAATTCCAAAAGACTTTCCTGCTCCCTCCCAGACCCCCAATGCATCAGTGAAACTAAAACAAGATTGGATTTAGTGAGCTGTCCAGTGACGCCGCAGCCCTATGGTAAAGCGGCAGCACAAACTGCAGGCACAGCTGTCTACAGCAGCTACTCTGCTTTGTATGCGGTTAAGACAGAGCCATGGTTCAGCTGCTGACTCACAGGACAGTGCTCCTCTCGGGTATCAGAGGATCACTCAGACTGGTTTCACAAAACAAAACTTTGAAGCTCACGAGATGTCGGTCGATATCGCAATATGTAAGCTGCACACCAGTCCCTGAAGTGGTATGTACAAAGTGCGTCTTATGAATACAACGTAAACCTATTTTCCCAACAGAGCAAACATTTCCAGGGTCAGATTAAAGTCAATGTGATCTATTTAACTTGATGTGACTGGCGGTGTACTAGAAGGGAGCACTGGTCGATTAGGATTTGGTTCCTTTTTTGTCGGTCACTAGGTGACGTACTAGTTGTGAGGTGTGAGATAAAACACCCTTTCTAAACTTGTGACATTAAGCCTAACTCATTATGTAGTGAGGATCCGGAAAGATGCCTTAAAATGCAAAATATCACTAATCCAACCTATTTAATAATTATGATTACATTGACTTGATAAAGATGTTCATTAAAACTTACCAAAACTTCCCATCATGGGATAATCAAGAGGTTCCAGTGGTTTTCTTGGTTCAGGTAAAGTAACAGCTGAGTGAAATGCCCGGACATCGTCACGCTCTGTTTCTTTAGATCCCCCTGGCCGCTTTTGAGTCTCTTCTTCCGCTTCATCCACATGAATGGCAAATGCAGGCTGTTGGCAGTTTGCTTTCCAAGGAGGAACAATGACATGCTCATCATTTATAGGGAGATCCTTAAGAGGTGCAGCCTAAAAAGAAACGAATAACTGATTTTGAGCCTATTAAATGAAGTTTTGCTTTCTTCCCTGTATGGGTCTCAGCCTCTGCTTTACTCCCAACTACTCTATCAGGAAAATTAAACTTTCCGCGGAAAAACCCAGGCAAGGAACTTGGAGTAGTCGAAGAAAAGGGATGTTCCAATTTGTCACAGGCATTTATACAAAGGTTATACAGAGTCATAAGTGGAATTATGAAAAACTAATCAAGGGCGCAAGAAGGGTGGAGTGGCTGAAAGGTGACAAGCCAAGTTTAGGAAAGAGAGCAAAAATGCGTTGGTTCACCACTTTCACCCCAGGGTGGAGCAACAGAGCAAATCCGGTAAAATGGCGGAATTTACCAAAGGCAAAGTATTTTTATATCCTTTCCTAAAGTCGAGGTAACCTCTTAACCGCGTGGGGAGGCGGCAGGAGGTCCAGGTTCTAGAGCAGTGCCTGGGGTTTAAAAGCCAAGAGAAAGGCGCGGAGGCGGGCGGGCAAAGACCACAGTCATGTTGTAGGGCTTGCTTTGACCTCATTACCTATAAAATACTCCCAATCGAGAACAGACAGGCAGCATAATGCAGTGATGGCCGGGAAAGTAATGGGAGAAACTACCCCGGTGGTATCCCACACGCTACAAAACCAGAGATCAAGGGGACACTGGGCTCAGGTCTCCCTAAAAAAAGCCCAGAGGATGCTTCCTCGTCCCTCTCCTCTGCCTGCTAAACCCTTGCAAAACTACCGTTCGGCCCACCCTCCTGCAGCTATCGCTCGTCTCTTTACCCGTCGCGTCCTGGGTTTCTGCGGCGGCGCTGGTCCCCGCTGGTTCCCGACCTTCAGTACAGCCAGCCCGGCCCGGGTCCGCGGCTGCTGGGCGGGAGACGCCTTCTCGGGGTTGATGTTCTCCTGGTCCTCTTGGGGCGCCGTCTGCTGCAATGTTAGCAGCGCCGAGCCCGCCTCGCGGGCCGCAGAGGTGCCCAACATCACTGCTCCCGAGGACACGGCAGGATCAGCCTGCGGCGCCAAGCAGCGTGCACTCGGTCCCGCCGACCGGCCGCGCCAAGCAGTGCTCCAG